ATGTTGTTTCCTTTCTGCCAATTGCTCCTGACATCCCAAAATCCGTGGTGCTGTAAAAACAACTCCTCCTGTGCAGCTGCTGCTTCCCTGTCTGCTTGTATGAACCTCACTGGAGTTTGGCTTTGTCAGCCTCCATCGCTGCGGAGAAGAGTTTCCTAAAGTCTGTCCTCTCTGATAAGGATTAAATGTGGATGTTGCCAAAGAGTATCTGCTTGGCTTTGCAGTAGAAGACCTTCATTTTTCCATGTGCTACCTGGGGTTGGGAAGGATCATCTCTCCCTGCCAGCAGCAGGACCTGCGTGACTGCCGTGGAACTCTGACTGGAGTTCATGAATATTGCCCTGGAAAATTCCTCACTCCTGAAGTGCAGTGGAACTGCAGCCTGTGTTTTGAAGACTCTTTAAATTATTAGTCTAACTTCTCTTGGGAGAAGCTCTGCTCAAAAGCCTGGAATGAAATCTAAAAGCAGTCTCTTTCAAATCCCACAATCACTGGGGTTGGAAAAGAGCTCCAAGATCGAGTCCCCCCTGTGCCCAATGCCCACCTTGTCCCCCAGCCCAGAGCACTGAGTGCCACGACCAGGCCTTCCTGGGACACCTCCAGGGTGGGCACTCCAAACCTCCCTGGGCAACCCCTGCCAAGGCCTCACCACCCTTTCCAGGGAGAAATTCCTCCTGATTTCCAAGCTGACCCTTCCTCTCCTCCTGTCCCTTGTTCCCTGGGAGCAAAACCCGACCCCCCCCCGGCTCCCCCCTCCTGTCAGGGACTTGCAGAGCCAGAAGGTCCCCCCTGAGCCTCCTTTTCTCCAGGCTGAACCCCCCCAACTCCCTCAGCTGCTCCTCTTATTGTCAGCTCTGTCTGAGGTGCCTCATGCAGGTGTGGGAACAGGAATTTGATCCTGAACAAAAATTCCTTGATTCCCCCCCTCCCCCCATGGTACCCATGAAGAAAAATAGTCCATCATATATTTGTGAATAAACTCTTGGTTTAGGATCTTGGTGAGTTCCTAAGGCAAGGAGACAACGTAGGGGTTGTGCCTGTAAAGACAGTTTTCCCTCCAGTGGGAGGTGTCCCTGCCCATGGCAGGGTTGGGAACAGGATCATCCTTAAGGCCCCTTCCAACCTGAACTGTCCTACGAGTCTGTGATTCCTTGTGTCAGGCTGTAGTTGATTTTCTCCTAACATTATTCCTCTAGGAAAGGACTGGGCTGGAAAGGAGAGCTGCCTTAATCTGGGGTTTCATGGCCACCATGTAAATATAGCTCAGGGCTCACCAGCCTTTGCATTCGACACCCTGGGACTGCTTTGCATGTGGAATGTTGGAGCTGCCGTGGGCACCTCCCCTCCTGGCTCTTCATATCAAGTGATCTCTGTGCCCCATGCTGCTGGAGATAGGAGCTATTTAAAGGAACCTGTTTATCCAGAGCTCTGGAAACAAAAGTCTGAAGGGTGAGAGAACAGGAAACTCGAAGATTGAAGATCGAGTGGCTTTTCTCTCGCAGGGTGCAGGGAACAGTCTTGTGGGTTTGGGATGAGGAAACCCAGAGTGCTGCTTGTTTAGGGAGCTCGAGGGAGCTGATAAGGGTTTCTGAGCTGGAGACTGGCACATTCTTTCTGTTAGGAACTCTGAAGTGCATTCCAGCTGCTTGGGGTAAGAGTGGTAATGGGAACAGAGCCGGGGGCTCGCTCTGCTCTCCCTGTCTGGTGCTGCAGAAACACAAACACAGACTGAGACAGTCACTGCTCATGCAGAAAGTTCTGGATCGTTGGAACCATCCAGTCACCATAATTCTGTGAGGTGGGTGTGGGGGCACTGCTGTCTTGTATCCTTTTTGGATGCCTCACCCAGGTGGGCTCTGCTTTTCTCAGGGGTTGTGATTCACTCCATCCTCCCAAGGGCTCTCACTGGGAACTGGTAGGGACAAGCAGCTGCTACTGAAAGTAGTAAGAACCTTCAAAATTACAAAAAAACCCCAGGAAAGAGTTGTTAATGTTTGCCCTGAAATATGGATATGCTTTTGGGACTGTTTGGGGTAACTGTTGTATTCCAGATGGGGTGTATCTGGGGAACTCTCAGGGGACACACTGGAAGTAGTCAGTGTATTAGTGGGATGCAGGAGTCAGTTTTGGAGGGGGGAATCTGTGTGGAAAGCTGGCTGGAGTTAGAGAAGCCCTTGGAATGTTCCATACTAAGAGTGTGAGGAGCTGAGGAACAGGAACTGCTGGTGCAGGGTGGGAAACTGGATCCTGCAGGGATGGCAAACACGACAGGACAGTCTGGGGACCAGGCAGGACCTGCTCCCCGCTCCTGCAGGCAAGGGAAAAGGAGGAGTGGGAGTGGCAGGGGGTGTAAATGAGATCCCAGGCTCCTTCCCTGCTCCCACTGCTTTTCCACATCGCTCGTGGAAAAACAGAGTTGGGGACGAAGAAAGTTGGGAACTGGGAATCAGGGTTGCAATTCATGGGCAGGTATCTCTTAAAATAGTTCTCAGAAAAGTTTCTGAAGATTGGAAAACAATTCCAGTCAGTCATGGCCCACAGGAGTGGGGATTTGCTGGATACAGGACTTTCTGCTGCTCACCAATTCTTCTGTAGGGTGGAAGTCTTCCTCAATTTATTGTGGGAGGGGACAAGGTGAAGTCCATCTTAGGCTGCTGTAAGACCCAACACTCAAGAAATCTTTGCAGCCACATCTGGAATTTTAACAAATCTGTCGGTTTGGGGTAAGAAAGACAGATATTTAACCTTTCTGCTTGTCAGTCAAGAACACTCCATATTTAAAAAGCAGCAATTTTACAACTGGGGGCAGTTAATCCCACCTTGGTAGTAGAGGAATTCTGTCCTTCAGGGATTATTTTGAGAGAGGGGCAGCTTTACCAAAGGCAAAAGTGGTTTTGCCCAGACTGAGCACCTGTGGGAGACTCTCCTTCCCTGTTCCCAGGGCCGTGGCTGACATGGAGCAGCACTAAAAATGAGCCCACACTTTTCATTTGCTTCAACTCTGCCCCAAAAGAGAGGGCTGTGGATCGGTTCTCTTAACAAATAAGGTGAAGTTGAATGTTTTCAATGCAAAGAGATGGGAATATCGTGTGTGAGAGTGGATCACAGCAGTGGATGTGGGATGGACTTCAATGAGCAGCCTTGGAGCTCTGCTGCCTCTGGGTGTGATGTGGGTGTTCATCCTTGGGGAGCAGCTGGAGAGAAGGACCCCGATGTCCCAGTTCATCACAGGGTGGCTGAACTGCAAATAAGGATGGGGAAGAGGAAAATGTGGGTTTATTATGTGTGTCAGCAGAGTTTGCTTCTGTGGGGAAGGGGAACATCAGTGTTACCACTCAGCCAAGAGCTGGCACTGAATTCCAGTATATCTGAATTCTGCACAAGGTATTTCTCCTTTCCTTGGTGTAGTCACTCTCCTTCCCAGCCCTTCTGAAGGGAGCAGGGCTCTTTCAGAAGGTTTTACCTCTTACTAAAGCTAAAATGACACCCTTTTCACTGGGCTGTTTCCTCATTTATCTAAAAGCTCTGGCATTTTACTTCCCTGGAACATGAAATGTGCCTCTGTAGGGAGAGAAACACAGGTTAGTGTTTCTGTCTGCCCACTGAGCAGGTGCTGAGAGGATATTGTGCTGGACATTGCCCTCATGGCTTGCTGTGGTGAAGAACAGGTTGGACATTTCTCCACGTGGATTCAAATACTTGAGCTCTGTGCCTTGGTTTATGTTCTTTTCTGCGTGGGGAATATGAGGAGTAATTATTTGGAGAGAAACTTATTTTTTTTTAAGAAAACCAGATAAGTTTGCTTCTGAATAAAGAAACCTTACCAACAAAATGTAAAATATTGGATAGAAAAATCTGGGACACGACACCCAGAGGATGAGGAGATGGTTCCCTGGGAAAGCTGGTGGGTGCAGTTCCACTGGAATCATGGAAAACTACAGCCAACGGGCGGCTGGGGATAACCACGGCTCGTGACTCAGACGTGGCTGCCACAGGTGGCCGGGCAGGTGTGGCCCTGGCAGTGACTTTGTGAGCTCTTAAGCCCCTCATTGAGCACCTGAAATGCTGCTTAGGGCAGGGCTGTCCTGCTGAGCCTGGATTAGTGCAGCTTTAACGGGGGCTTTGGGGAAACCGGCTACGACGTGCGACGGGGGGGAAAAGATGCTGATGGTTTTCATGGAATGTCCTGAATGGGTTCAGCAAGTGTTGGTGGGAAACAGCAATTCCAGAATGGCTGGGGGTGGAAGGGACCCCTGGAGATCACCCAGTCCAACCCCCTGCCAAGGCAGGGTCACCTGAGCAGGTGACACAGGGACGTGTCCAGGTGGGACTGGGATGTCTCCAGAGAGGAGACTCCACACCCTCCCTGGGCAGCTGTTCCAGGCTCTCCACCCTCGTGGAGAGAAGTTCTGCCTCGGGTTGAGGTGGAACTTGCTGTGGTTTGGTTTGTGGCCATGGCTCCTCGTCCTGTCCCTGGGCACCTGAGCAGAGTGTGGGACCCTCCTGACAGCCCTTGGGAGATTTGTGGGGATTGATGGATCCCCTCTCACCTTCTCTCCTCCAGACTGATCAGGTCCAGCTCCTGCAGTCTCTGCTCATCAGGGGGATGCTCCAGACCCCAAATCATCTCTGTGGCCCTCCTGGACTCTCTCCAGTAGCATCTTGTCTTTCTTGATCTGTGGAGCCCAGAACTGAACCCAGCACTCCAGAAGTGCCTCCCCAGGAGAGCAGAGGGGCAGGATCCCCTCCCTGACCTGCTGACCACTCCCTTCCCAACGCCCCCCAGGATCCCACTGGCCTCCTGATCCCAACAATAGCCAGCTCATGTTCCTGCTGAGGAGAGAGCACTCAGGAAAGCTGCCTGGGTCACTGGAGGGAGCCTGCAGCAAAATTTCCCGAGTTCCAGTTGCTCAGATTTAACACAACTCATTTCCCAGCCATCCCCAATGAACTCCCATCCCAGACTCCACAATCACATTCCTTCTGCCTTGTGTTTTGCAGATAAGCAGTTTCTGAGGACTGAAGGACCTGCAAAGGGACACCTGCTTTTGAGGTAGGAACTGTTTTTCTAATGACCCAACGCTAAATCCTTAATTAAAGAGCAAAGGTTTGATACAGCTGGGAATGAATGACCATCCAGGGATCTGAAATGGCAGTTCTGGGAACTTCTGTGGAGGAAACATGTCTGGAATGCACTCACCTTTCCATTCTGACATTCCCCTGTTTCTGTTTGGGATAACAGGGCTGGTGTGAGACCTGGGGATTGTCCTTTCTGGCCACTTGGACCTTCTTTTCTTGCCTTTTCTGCTGCAAAGGGCACACATTTAACTTGGTCACTCAAATCTTCTTTTTATCAGAGTAAGAGGACTACAAAAGATTAAAATGGGTAAACGAGGCTAAGAAAAACAAGTCTGATTTGATTTGTTAGGAATTGGGAGCAGCGGATCATCCACGTTTCTGATCCTCACTGTCCTTTGGGGGAGGCTCCAGAAAGCTCCACTTCCACTGGAGCCTGCAGTCAGGGGATGTTTGAGGTGCTGGTGTTCATGTGACATGTTTTGGTGAAGGAACTACAATTTATTCATGATATTTGTGTGGACTGAGAGACCCGGGATCTTCTGCAGTGCAGTTTAACTGAGATTGTTCTCAAGTGCTGTGTGTGTGTGTTTGACTCCTGAGAGGAATATCAGCCATTTTCTCCACTGTTTGATCCTTTCTTTTGCCTTTTCCCTGACAAAATGGGCTGAGTGCAGAGTGCTGGTGCCATCCCGTGGGTTTGGCTGTGAGGAATGCCAAGGAGTCATGGATGCAGTTCATAACACCTTGTTCTTACATCACCAGCTGTCTCTGCTGGGATTTGTGGAGGTGACAGCAGCCCCACGTGTTTCCTAAAACTTAGAGCAAGGAAAAAAAGGGCATCTGAGGAACAATTTTGTCTCCTTAAGTGGCAGATGCAGAGAGGACACTGTGGGTGCAGAGTCCTTTATTTTCAGTGGGGTTCACACTCCTGTGTGTCCCTGTTCATGGTGTGACTGGAAGATGCTCCTGTGTGTCCATTCCTGGGGTGACTGGAGGAGGCTCCTGTGTGTCCCTGTTCCTGGTGTGACTGGAGGAGGCTCCTGCTGATGCTGTGACAGGGCCCAGGCCCAGCTGGGGCAGCCCCACCACCTTTTTTGGCAGCCCCAGCACATCCCCACCTGAAGTGGTGCTGTAGAAGCCACGTGAAGAGCAGCCCAGTGAGGTGGCTGATCTCCCTGGGGTGGGATGGAGGAAGGGCACGTGCCCAGAGTGCCCTGCATGCCTTTCCCCGTGGCCTCAGTGGACCTGAGGAGGTCATGGGAGGTGTCTGTCACCTCCTCCTGCAGGGAGGGAGCGTGAGGGGACAGGGAGGTGGCGTAGGAATGTGAGAGCAGAGCGCTGTGTTTTCCTTCCTTCACCTTCCAGTCTGGAGTGGTTTTTATTTTTTCTCCTTTCTACTTCACTGAGCTTGGACCAACAGGTCTGAATGTCTGCCAGACTCCTTGGATGTCTGGACTCGCTCTCAGACTTCACTCAGGCACAGAATATCTCCAGCTGGAAGGGACTCAGGGATCATGGAGTCCAACTCCCTGCTCCTTGCAGGACCACCTAAAAATAATGATATGACGAAGAGTGTTGTCCAGGCACCCCTTGAGCTGTGCCAGGTGATGTTGTTACCTCCCAGCTTGGGGGTTTGCTGGTGTGATTTTCCTCCTTCCTTCCTTCCTCTGTTGTCCAAAAATGGGAGTTCCAGTGTGAGCTGCCTCCTGGAGTGCCAGGGATCCATGTGCCTCTCCACACTTGTTGTTCCTGGTTTCAGGACATGGAAACCAAACAGGTGCTTCCCACAGACTCTATTCAGCAGCTAAAAGTGCTTCCTGAAGTAATTTATCCTGGAACATTTAATCCCCACTCATTGACTGCTCAGATGAATAAAGGCAACTTCCTCCCAACGTCCTCTGGAGAAGTTGGGAGAGAGGCAGGAAGGAGGAGGTGTCTGTGGGAGTTGGGCACTGGCTGGTTGTTGGATGAGCTGGTTGAGGAGTGTCCTGACTGTGGCCTTCCAGGAACCTGAAGGAGCCCCCAGGAAAGATGGGAGAGAGACTTTGGACAAGGGATGGAGGGACAGGACCAGGGGGAATGGCTTCCCACTGCCAGAGGGCAGGGTTAGATGGGATATTGGGAAGGAATTCCTGGCTGGGAGGGTGGGGAGGGGCTGGAATGGATTTCCCAGAGAAGCTGTGGCTGCCCCTGGATCCCTGGAAGTGTCCAAGGCCAGGTTGGAGCAACCTGGGCTGGTGGAAGGTGTCCCTGCCCATGGCAGGGGGTGGCACTGGATGGGCTCTAAAGTCCCTTCCACCCAAACCATTCTGGGATGTGAGGATTCTGCTTTACTGTGAATGGTTTTACTTCCTCAAAGCAATGTGGGAAGAACTGTAAATTAAAATAAAAAGAGGTGTTTTTTCCCAGTACTACAGTGAATAGCCATTTACCTGGTCCCTCCTCCCCCCTTTTTGGAAGGGAGCTGCCTGTGTCCCAGGGCACAGCAGTGGGACCCTGAGTGCTGCAGCCCTGCCTGTGATAAACCAGTGAATCATTCCCTGAAGGAACTGTACCCAATAACACCGAGGGGGCACCTGGAATTTCTTTTATTGCTCTTCCTTTCCTGAAATCTCAGCTTTTGTTTTCTCACCCATGCCTTGTTTTTCAGCCACCCTCGAGTGTGTTTGTTATCAAGGGCACGGAAATGTAAATACAATAGTGGCTGAGCAGCTACTCCCTTCCTCCTCCTCTGGCTTCCTGCACTCGGGAAGGTGGGAACTATTCTGCATTTATTCGTGTCAGAAATGGCTGTTCTTCCCCCTGGTGCCACCCCATCAGATTCCAAAGCCTAGAGGGTCAGGGCAAAGAGAGGTGTTTGCTCTCCCAGGCGTTCCTTGGGAGGGAATTAACCTCCTGCTGCAGCTCCTCCCAGTGTCCTCCCGTCCTCCTGCCTGACAGGACATCCCACTGTTTAACCAGATAAGGCACCATTCTAGTTGAACTAAGCCTGCATTCTTCTCCTTGCAATATTTGAGCATATTTCTTGAAGAAGAACTAAAAGAGTTGAAGCAGTGCCTTCTCTGACTTGAGAGCATTTCTCCCAGACCTCAAATTTTCAGTTACTTTTGAGAGTTTTTGCCTAAATGTGGTTCTTCTGCTCGTTGTACTTGGGTCACAAGTAGCTGATGATGATTGATTTCTGTGTCAGGCACGGATTTTGTCATTAAAATTGGGTTAAGATAAGGGAAAGGCTCAAATGTAGAATTTGTTCTTTTGACTTAAGAGTTGGACTTGTGGTTCCCTTCCAGCTCAGAATATTCTGTGACTGTCTCAGGAGGAGTTGGGTGAGAGCATCAGGCTGCCCTCACACTGGGCCTGTCATCTGCTTTTTTTACTGGGTTTGTCATGAGCTTTGTGTGGCAGGAACAGCTTCCTGGGAGGGTTATTTATCTGCAGTTCCCCAGCCCTTCCTTGCCCAACCTGCCACGGTAAATGCCATTAATGTGTTTGTGCTGCACTAGCAGGGCTGGGGAGTTCTGGGATGCTCTTCTGGCCCTGGGCCAGCTGTGGGGCTGAACTGAGCTCAGGAAAAATCCCCGGGATCCTCTCTAAGAACAACCATCACGTGAGAGCAGGAGTGTTCCCCTGCTTGGGGGAATTAAGATGCCGTGTGGGGAAGGAAGAACAGCAGCAGCTTAAGGGCTGGGCTGGCATCCCTCTGCTGAAGGGATAAGCTGCAGGGCCAGAGGAGGCAGGAGGGTCTGGCTGGAACCTTTAGCTTTCCTTGCTGCCCAGGATGACACAGGGCTTTCAGAATACACTGGTTTCTAAATTAGAATCTGATCAATGCCATGTGAAGGAGAGGGGAATGGACTTGCTGAGCTCCTGGTCTAGTAGAGTTCCCTGCTGGGCCTTGGCCTGCAGATTAAATACTGATTAATGTGCTGTTGAACTCATTTCTGAGTGCTTTACTGTTGCTGTATTTTTAACTTTACCCCCCTTGGCAGCACGGGAGGGGCTGGGACTCCTGTAGGGGTCTGGTGATGCTGCTGGAAAGGGGCTGCACGTGGGTCATGTTGTGGCACAGGCAGGGATGGATCCATTAGCACTGGTGATGGAGCTGGGAATGTGCCCCGTGTTCCCCCTGAACAGCCAGTGTTCCCCCTCTGGGAGGCTTGGGATGACTCACTGGACCTTTCCCCACCTCTCATCCCATTCTGAAGCTGAATTATCCTTCCACCTGCCTTTGGGAGCTGTTCCATTAGCACCAGCAGTGCCTCCTTCCCCTGGATCACAGGCAGGCAGAATTCCCAACTTTCCAGCAAATCCTTCCATGTGCTGTTGTAGCCAAAGGCTTCAACTCTGCTTGCAGAGGTGCCCAAGCGTGCTCAGTTTTCAAAGCTAAAGACTTCTGCCTTCATTTAAAAGGATTTCTGAGGTTTTTCTTTCTCCCTTGTGTGTAGGAGTAATTCCCAGTGACATGGAGTTTGTTAAATCTCTGTTATATTTGTTGTGGAGTTGCCCCGAGATGAACAAAATCCATACACTGAGTTAAAAGATGGTGCAGAGCCCCCTCCTGAGTGTGTTCTGGTGACACACCAGTGTGTGAGGGCAGGTTTGGACATTCCAAAGCTGCTCTCAGACAGGGTAGGGAGCAGGGTGAGGAGCAGGCTCCACAGCTCGGAGGTGTGCTCTGCTCCCACCCCAAATGTGCTCAGGGACTTGAATTCCTCATGAATTTCAGGGAAACACAGGGGCTGAGTTCTGTTCCTGGCCTGCAGGTGTGACCCCTGTGGAGCAGGCTGAGCTGCCTGTGAGTGCTGAGTGGGCCTGTTCCCCCTGAACCAGTTTGCCTGGTGGTCCTGGAGTTCTGCTCCGGCAGGAACGTGGGCCGGGCACTCGCAGAGCAGCTGCTTTCCCTTGTGGAACCTCTGCTGCCACAAGGCTTTGCTGTGGTTTCCAAGTGGCAAACCCGACCTCTGCACCAGTTCA